ATAACAGTATGGATAACAGTAGAAGGCACATTTGGGCCGGCAATGTAAATAACAAAAAAAAAAAAAAATTTAAATGGAGATTTTCCTTCCTTTTGGAAAACTGGTGAATAATCTTTGGTTAAATCAACGACTCTTTTGTAAAGCTTGTTGTAAAGCTTTGACTGTTAATGTACCAAAAGTGCTCCATGTTAAGAGCAATAATCTTTACAAACCAGATAACCAATAGAGTGTCAGGTAAAGCCGAAAAAGAGGGGGAAACTCAATCATAGGAAGAGATAACATTAACCAACACACTTAAAGAGAGTGAAGTTGATGAACGGACAAGATTAAAGCAGCGTTATTGAGTTTGAATTGGACAAGACTTTGCTCTGCACTTGTCTGAAAATTACAATTGTGATAACTTAAATTGTCAGAAATGAGGATAAAATCCAATTATGTTCGAACCACATGGTTGGACGCCCGAGGAAATCTATGTAACCAGTTGTATATTTTTGCTCTAACTAGTAATAGCACTTAACTATAATATAGAGTAAGGCCTATGGATATTGTGCAGGTGTGCATCAGGGAGGTTTCAGGATCTTCAGACTTTGCTATAGAGAAACTGCAACACACTGTACACCCTATGATTGCTTCTTCTGGCTGGTTTCAGTGGTTGAAGTTCCAGTAAGTTTCAGTATTTGAAATAAACATTTGAATCACAACAGATTTAAAAGATACCTTGAAATGATTCAAGACTCTTGTTTTTAGTCTAATTACTTGGGCCAAAAAAAACCCGTTAACCAACAATGACTCTGAGCTGAAAGTGTTAATCTCTCAGCATCTTTTTAAACTTTTGATTAAAATATTACACTCATCTTACAACGATTCAATAGTAAAAAGCCACATCGGCTTTTTCATTTTTTTAAGGAAAAATAAATTCCCATGCTCTAAGCAACGCCTTCATCCATGTCGTCTACAAACACATTTTGTCTGCAACAATGAAGACATGCAAAGGGCATGATGGAACTAGAAGTTGGGTGGGGGGGTACAATGGAGGGGCTAAAAGGAAATCATTTGCAAGTATAGGATTCAGTCTCAGTGTGAATCAATTCATTCCAAATTGCCCCGGCCTGTACATTTGTGGAGAAGTGCCCCTGATATAATAACAGACTGATAGACATGAACAAAGATTGCGTTAGGCTGGTCTCAAGTTTCCCCCCCAAACACACGTTTGGAGGACCAAAAGCGAGAGAAAGTGAGAGACGGCGAAAAATGAAGCTCTATATTAATTTGGTGCTTTCATGGATGATCTGCTATCAGGGGCGAGCTGTCTTAAATGACTTAACCCAATACCTTTCTGATACCAGAGCCCGACCAGAAAGGAATGAAGTTTTAATGCAATTATTGTGTTTCCGTTAGTCGCCTGACTGCTTGATGTGGCCAGCAGTGCTTTTTAATCTTTTAAAAAGAGCAGCTTTAAATGCCCTTCTAATTGTGACATCTTTCCCGCCTTGATGTGACCTTTAGGGGAGGAAGTAAGGCCTCATGGGAGCAGCAATAGGGGATTATTGACCCTGAGAGACATCAGGAAGTGAGGTGCAGACCCGACCATTTAGCTAACTTCCACATCAGACACTGCAGGAGCATCGACGGCTCCGCTGGAGCCGAACCATTCTGACAATGACTGTACAAAAGGAGCTTTTTGAGTCTTTGTGTCTTCTTCTCTTTGGGACAGCGCTTTTCAGAGAAGCTAGAATGTGAGAAAACTAAATGAACAACCACTACTGAAACTCAACTTTTGTATAATCTGACAAAAAGAGTACGGGTGAAACGTGGGCTTTTTTTCTTCTTCTCCTGACAAACTATCAGGCAGTTTAAACCAACTTTCACATCTGTTGAAACAGTAAAACAGGTAGAAAGGTAAACACGGTGGTTTGGTTTTGTGTGTCTTATTCTCTTCTGTGAACGCGGTCAATCTTTATCGAACGCTTGTAACTTTTGAAAATGTAAAGCTCAGAGTCGACATAGATGAAAAAAGGGTCATGGAAAACTTCATCGACATTTGCTTTGTAAAGGTTTAAAAATAACAGACAGCATTGCATCTGTGTCAGTGTTAGAGCCATGGGCAACGCTACAATCATGACATCAAAAGCGCATTATGCAATTTCTGTAAAGGGGGGTGGGGGGGGTTGGTGGACGGAAATCAAGCTTTTTTTTTTTTTCAAGTCCACTGCATGTACAGACTAAACTTTCCATTCAGCAGCATTTCCCTATCACAGCTCTGTCATCACAAACATGGAAAAATTGAGTCGGTTCAGTGGTGAGAAACACTGGGGGGGGGGGGGGGGGGGGGG